AAATCAAGCAACGAGGATCTCAGTGAGTAATGAGAAACCAAAAACGTAAACAATGCCCATATATATTACAGAGAGTTTTAGTTTAGCGTACGCTGCTAAACTGCATCCCCTGTTGACTCGCGCAGCACCATGCTCCAAAGTGACGGCAAGAGCTCCCGACAGCAACGGAATTCGTTGCATTCGCTAAAACTAAAAATGACTAATGTCTTCTTCCAGAAACCCGCATGAAGGTTCTTAACTATCTGCCACAAACAAAACAACAACAGAGGAAGCCTCTTTTATCTCGGTTTACAAGAAGTAATGTTCGACACTGTTAAGGGTAGCATGAAATGATTTTAGAACTTCTTCCTCCTTAGCTTTCCTCCTCAACTCAAAAGCGAAATGAGGAATCACGTGGTCGTGAAGTGCATGAGAAACGGTGCGCTGACTTCAAGCTTCCACCGTTCTTCTTAAGCACTTTATGGAACTTGTCATTCGCAAGCGATATTAAGTGTCGTCACGGCACTTACCTCCCACGAGCGCGAATTCAAATATTCGTTGACGGATTGATTGTTGACGGGCGCATACGTTCGCGTAACGCAGCGCTCCCGTCCAACGCGACCCCCTCGCTAGGCTGAGAGAACTTCCGTTTCCAATAGAAAGGCATTCTTTGTGCCAAGGCCTCGTGACTTCTGATGTTGCTAGCCGAGTCCAGTCAAGTTGAGGAGAAAAGCAAAAGACTGTTTTCATTTTTTTTAAGTGGGGCATTAAAACGGAAACGAATTCCTGCTTTGGGTTCTATGAACATTGAACAGTTATTGGGGTCTTCATTTGACAAAAAGCAGAAAAATCGATTCATGGTTCCTTTAAGGTCACCATTCCATTGATCCTTCATCCATTCGAAGGTAGTTCATTCAGTAATCTTGGAATACACGTCGACGGGAGGTATTGGTAGAAAGCTCGCACCAAAAACTTTTCCAAAGCACGGCCGGACTGATTTCGCGCTTGCTACCTTACGGCATCTCCAGTGAGGCATGTCAGCACAAATGATTGCAATGCGGCACTGACACATATCATGTTGCGTGACACCTAAAACTGTGGTGCAGAAAAGGAAAAACATTTAGTCGGAGGCCCTTCGAGCTTAGTCGAAGGTCCTTCGAAAGTCCTTCCACTAAAACTTTTCTTTTCAGCACCGCAGTTTCAGGTGTTAAGCAACATGATTAGCTACTATACCAGCTCGCCTGCGTGCTCACAGTCTTTCACATACATATAGTTGACTAGAAGCGTTACTGAGCGGCCGGGAGCCGCGCCGTAACGCGACCGTAGGAGTTTTACTACTTTACTCGGGAACATCTCTCTGTGCATATTCAGGCCAAGGTACGAGAGAACATTTTTGAGAGCCGTTTGGTTCATCCTGTTCAGTCTGTTCACAATCCTCTTGCGAAGCCAACATATCTGTCTTTTGCTTTAATGTTTTTGGCGCAGAAGCCGACTGCATCAAAACGGGTTTCTTTCGGGCTTTCTTGAGCGTAGACATTAGGTTCTTGAAAAACCCATCGAACATCATGGGCACGGCTCCAGGGGCAATGTTCTTTATTCAGCATTACGGTACATGATCATCCGGTTTAAAAAGCCTGCGGAGCACAACCCTAGAAGGTTTATCGGTGACATTAATGTTCTCCCTTAGCATCCTCTTCCGCTTGGTGCTTATCGATTCATCGCTGGGCAGCTCGTGAAAACACACACTAGAAGTATTTCCCAATATCGATTTGCACTTCAAGCGCACAGCAGTAAATCATTGTGCCACGTGAAGAGATAGAATAGTTAAGTCGTGGCGCCCCGCCCCCCCCCCCCCCCCCTCCCCCGCGCAGGAAAATGCACATGCTTTCTCCCTCAACAAAAACGCCTGATAAAAAAAGAATCGCACGAACCCAGTCCGGTCGTGTTCAAAGCCGGTTGAGTTCATCTAAGGTACCGTATGATAAATCTATACAACTCTATACTTGATTAGCCTATTAAATTATTTTAATTTCATGGACGACGTAATGTAAACTATACATATTAAACGAGCCAAGTGTGAACGTGAATGGTGATCTAGGTTAGTAATGGTGGATGGAGTTTCAGAAACCTTCATGATTTGCTGCCGCAAAACATTCTATCTCATTTATACCTAATTCAGTAAACCTTTACCAAAAGGGTCGTGTCGTTTTCTAAATATGTTAACCTGGTTCAAAAGCCAAAATTCAACAAGCTGCAAGTCTAAAGTTACCTGTCTGACACTTGAAAGCGGAAATCATTTCTGGATTTTCAAGCTCAGCTGTGTCAGTGTCTAATAGAATTGCGGTACATTTTGGAGCTCAAGCTTTGCAACCCCTGCTAAAACATCTCACCCTCAACTTAACGATCCCCCGCCCTCCCCCCTCGAAGTCAAATTGTAAGGGCGGAGGGGTATTACCGTTTACTAGAAGAAATGATCTCCTTCCGGACAAACGCAGTCCACATAAAAGTCTCAAAGTGAGCTATGTTAACATTCACCTGCTTTGGCTTCGTCGCTGAGCAGCAAGAACATGAACAGCGTCTGCTTGATGACGCACTTCTTCGTTGCACGTTGAACACCTGGACTGGGATAATCTGCGGCCATTGTTCAAATTTCCACTCCACGAAACAGAGGCGTGTTGTTTCTTTTGGATAACCCCAATGCGAATGACACAAGTGAACGAATACGCCGATTCTGTTGCTAATTAACGCTGCCATCCGAGCCCCATTAGGCACGATTGCGGGGAGCACGCCACGGGTCACGGGCCCTCCTCGAGGCGTTCTTTTCCAGAAAACGCCACGCGCTGTTTCCAAAGGACACGCGACGTGGCTTGAAAGGAAGCACAAACTGAAATATGTTGTACAGTGGGTTAGAAAGCAGGTAATAAGCGATGTTTTCATACTTTCATTCGTTCGTTTATTTTATTTTATTTCTGTTCAATTTGTACAGCGCGTCCCCAAAAATAATTACGGTATTTTTTTTTCTTTATTGCAATAATAAAGTATGCAGTTATAAGTGATTTTCTGAAGTTTTTGATGGAAATATAGGGCCTATTTTTTCTCGTTTTTGATAAATGGCGCCATAGAACTCTATGCATTCGAGAGCTCTGTCGGCTGCCATTTTCCTATTGAAAATTTTGAAAATCAGTTATAACGTTTGAGTAAAACGACGGTTACTGCTGAACCTTTGGCACGGGTTACGACCTTTAGCGCTACACTTGGCCGGATAATGAGCGTTCCTCGTTGCGTGGTTCATTTTTCGCAATAAAAACAAAGTTTTGTAATTCTTTTTTTCGGAAAAGGGGGGGGGGGGGGGTGATTGGACAATAACAATGCACATACAGTAATTGGAGTCGTAGCCATAGACATTTGAAATATACGGTATGTTCGCTGCAGATGGACAAGTTGGACTATGACAAAGAAACCGAAGTCTTTAATGTGCATCACGACGCACTATACTTCATCTAACAAATGTGTAAAGTTCAGACAAAGACGCAGGCACGTAAAGCTAGGTCAGCACAATGCTTTGTTAATGCAAAAACTCGCGCACTGGAGCAATACCATCTAAAAGGCAAGGGCTACGCCTCCCTCCCACACGTCATCACTATATAATGGATTCATGAAGCATCGCTTAGCTCACGTCAGCGTCGCCGCTAACGTGTTTTTCAGCGTCTCGCAAGAAGCAAGACGCTAGTGCGCGCGGCAACTTAAAAAAACTTACGGCCCCGCAGCTATGCGCCGTAGTGTCATCAAGCTTCATTCCAAAGCCACGCGCTCACGTCAGCGCCTTTGCTTTTTATGCAAACGGCCAAGCGAAAAGGAAGTCAACTTTGTGAATAATTATACGTGAGCGGTCAGAGTGCCCTTACGATATATGACAACAGTGGTTCGACGCTGTAAAGGGGAAATGTAGTCGGTGCAGTACAACCATTCGAAGTCGGCTCGTTAAAGTTTGGCCAGAGAGTATAGTATGCGACTTCAGCACGCGTTGACTGCACCGTGTTTTTGACAGGAGATTGGGTCATGCCCCTACTGATGCACTTAAGCTGCGCGGAAAACAAATAATTCCGTTAACTCTCTTCTAAAGCTGTTTAGTGGGGACTTATCGCGGGCGGGCCCTGTGGGCGCGTGCTCAATTCGTTTTCAAAGAGACGGCACGGGCTCCCGCCAGCAACGCAAAAGTCTTGCATGCGATCCACAAAAGTTACACTGTAGCGCTCTCTAAAACGTTTGCGACAAATTATTAATACGCCTCAATTTTTGCAACTCATAAAAACGTCAAAAATGGCGTTGTGGCGTTGCCGAATGGCAATTTCTCTCAAAGGGTTGCGTGGTTGTATTGTATTGTAGTGTAAGGGAGAAATGCCCGTGCTGGAAATCTCATTCTCCCATGACGAGGAAAATTCTCGCACTGACGGGGAAGAAAGGAGCTAAAGAGAAGAGAATGTTGGTGGGTGAGAAGATTTTGGTGATGCGTGAAAGGGGGTTGTAATAGCTAACTGCATTGGTGTGGGGAAATGTGTTTTGCAGGAATACGTTAGATGTCGCCTTCCGGGTCTGTTTATTTATCCGTCAATGTAGATACGAACAAAAAATAAATAAAAATAAAAAATAAATAAGAAAAAAGAAACACTTCCGTCAGCACGAAGTTTGTCGGCGAACTGTTTCACCGGTGTCGTACATCGGCATCCACATGGTAGCAATGGTCTGGCGCGTTCAGTTCAGTTTGTGTAGTGACAAACCTTTTTGTGACTTTTCGCGTTTTTGTCGTCCTTTGTTTAACGGGAGTTTGGTGGGGCTGTGCCAGATATCTGCTGATCACCCCGGCTGCCTTCAATTCTTCGACAATGAGACCTTTGCCCACATCCCGCTACACAATCATAATACTCGGGAGCCCGTCGTACTCCGCGGGCCAAGCTTTCCACGCTTGGATTAGGCAATCCCATCGAAAGATACCATTATCTTCCCAACTGGCTCAGTCCACTATCGCTGGACTATTCAGTATAAATATCTACTCGAGTTTCTGGATTCAACCGGCGAGGCCAATAGATTGTAACTGCTTCCCTCTTATTCCATTCTAATTTGTCCCATCTCTCATATTTGCTCACTCGTTATTTTTCTAACTTTCCGAAGTCATTTAATATTTCTCTTTCTCTCGCCTTTCTTGCCTCCGTTTATTTATATTTTTTTTAAGAAAAACGAGTTTCGATCTTCTTTAGAACAACGTTATCTTTTCACACTTTTTTTATAGTAGCACGCACTGATTTCTTTATATATATATACCAGTCTTGAAGAAGGCCTGTCTCAGGCCGAAACGTCGACTCACTAAATGCTTTAAAACTCCACCAACGTTTCGAAGTGCGACTTTATTACTTTATAGTCTTCGGCATCCTACGCTATATTTTCTTTGTCTATATATATATATATATATATATATATATATATATATATATATATATATATATGAAATAGATATTATTGAGGGGGTCATTTCAAATATCTCCCTTCGTGAAGACACCTTATCGAAACGTCACATGATCTTTCGTGACGCTATTGTGCTCTCCCTACAGCTCTTTGTGCTCTTATCTCGCACAGATATGGGAGGAGGTCTCCCAAGTGGCCCCAGTCTCGATCTCCCGGGTTGCCTGATATACACAGGCTCAAAACAGGCGTTGGGCTCGACTGAAGTTTTTCCACGGTAAGTCGTGTCCTTGAGATATTCACAGACTGTGTTGTTGCTCTACGCTATTTTATGTTACTTTTAAGGACGTAAAGTACGAACTTCTAGACTTTGGTTATAAACCCGATTTTTCCGAACGTGGACGCCGGACGTGGACTGTTTCTCCCAGTCGTCATTATCGTTATTTTTAAGTCGAGAAATAGCTTTTTGTGACATTCAGTTTTTCTCATTTATTTTACCTGCAGTTTCAAGAGCGGATAATAATTGAAGTTGCTATTGTTAAGACATTGACTTCATGAATAAAATGTGTCTCATCAAAAACAAAAGGAATGCCATTGACTCAGGCGTAACCCGCAGCGGCGTAGCCAAGGGAGGGAGGGGTAGTTACTGGGGCTTCATTCCCCCCCCCCCCCCCCCGCAAAATCCAGCCGACCCAATAATACACACAATCCTCTTGAACTCCCCCCCCCCCCCCCCCGCCCCCAACCCCCTTCAAAATATTGGACATCCCAGGCATCTCAGTGCCCCTTCCCCCAAAAAGAATTCCTGGCCACGCCACTGGTATTCTGTTAGTTACGGGATCTTACTATGTTTCTATTTACTTGTTGCTTAGCAGACCAAATGAATGGTCCCGGTGAGAAGGGAAGAAAGGGCGATGCAGAAAATATCGCACAAATTCATTGAACGCGCAAACGTTTTATAACAAATAGATAAAAAAAATATTGTCACTAAGTTACAAAACTTTCTACAATGTACATCTTCATTGCACACAGCTAGTACACAGAAAAAGCGAATGCGCACCAACGCTGGAGAAACACCGACACTGGGCAGAAATAGGTACAAAATAAACAAGCTAAGGTAAAGTGACAATGCCAATGAAACAAGCGAAAACGCAAACAAAAGATGTAAAACAAGTTGATAGTACTCTGCAATGATGTGGTGCAGTGAAGTAAAGCGTAGACACTGGATCGTGAATTAATGATTTACTTTAAGTTGCACCAAATACACATGATGGTGCGAATTGAACATAAAAATATGCTGACAATAATTTTCTGGATTTGTTTGTCCCTCGAGGTATTAGTTGCCAAAAACGTGTTGTTTGATTAACATCTCACTTGTTTCTTTTGAGTTTGGACTAACAGATGTCTAAAATCACACACATCTTAATTTCTCACGTTTTTTTTTTTTTTTTGTCTTTTTTTTTTTTTTACTGGCAGTTTTAATAAATACACAGCTGAGTTGCTCGTGGTATCCGCCCCTGCCCGGCCATGTAAATGTAAACAACTATAAAAACTGGGAATGTCTGAATAGTGGTTGGATTCGAATAACACTGCACCACATGCCGGCTCTCTTTTTTGTGTTGAAGCTAGAGATGTTGCGGAGCTTTTCTATTCGGAGCGGTATTTACAGACCCTTATACACGGGGACAAATTTCTGGCACTTCCGAGGAGAGGAGAGAGCACGTGCAGCTTTGACCAGCGCTCAAAATGGGAAATGGCACGCGTGCCGTGCCTTTGACTGCACTGCCAAGAAAGGTTGTGCCCGAGTACAGTAACAACACAGCTATATAAAGAAACAAGGAGAATAACTAGGGTGCCTTCATGCGCGCTAGGAATAACATGCGGTCAGACTTTATCTTTTGAGGACAGAAAGACACGCTACGATGACATACTGTCGCGGCTCGAAAGGCTGTATGTGTCTCCTTTTTTGCTGCTATATTGTTCAGAAGTTATCGGAAACCTTGACGCCTTCAGAAGCGCGAAAGGTATCTGCAGAGTCCTTCTGACTCAGACAACATGTGTACGCTCCTGCACATTATGTATCGAGGACATGGTGTTGATAAAGAGCTTGAAAATATTAAGTGCCCCCCGCCCTCCCTGGGCTTGCCTATTCTCAGTGATATCCACATTCTAATTATCTACTTAGTTTTGCAGCAGCCCTTTCAGTGCCACCCCTATGTGAGCACCTCTTTTAATTCCAGCATTCATCTTTACCGGAAGTATGAAGGCAACGCGGATCCCGCTTTTGTTGATGGCAATCTGCTCTTTATGTGAATCGACGAACCCCATTGCGAGGACAAAAAACGGAGACGTCGAAGGATTGCAACTCAACGTGTACGGCGAGAGTGTGCACGCGTTCCTGGGCATCCCGTACGCGAGGCCTCCAACAGGAATTCTCCGTTTCCAAAGACCTCTCCCCAAGGCTCCCTGGTCAAAAGTCAAGAAGACAAGGACCTTCGGAAAGCGGTGCTTACAAGAGGCGCCTCTGGACGTCCCGTCGGACCCGTACGCTCCGGTCCCCAAGATGGGAGAGGACTGCCTATACCTCAACATCTGGTCGCCGGCGACTCGGAATAACTCAAAGGCCGTCATGGTGTGGGTCCATGGTGGAGAATTCAAGGAAGGTTCCTCGGACAATCCGTTATTCGACGGATCCGTCTTGGCCGCCACTCAGGGCGTCGTTGTCGTCTCGTTCAACTACAGACTCGGCTTTCTTGGCTTTCTGAATGCGGTGAACGTGAACGCCTCCGGGAACGCTGGACTGTACGACCAGGTCCTTGCACTCAAGTGGATTAAAGATAACATCGAGGCGTTTGGAGGAAACGCTTCTCGTGTGACCCTTTTCGGAGAGGACGCCGGCTCAATGGCTATTCGACTTCATATTTTCTCCCCAGTCACTAGGGGACTATTTCAAAGGGTGATAATGCAAGGAGGTGCCTTTTACGCGTCGAGGGGCGTCGAGAGCACGAGCCGTGGGCTTTTGAAGGCGGATGCACTGGCGGTAGAGGTGGGATGCTCCAAGAGTACCCATTCCCTCGTGTCACACCCTCACGATGTTCTGGAATGTCTCAAGTCCCGTCCGGCTCTCGAACTTATAAGCGCCCAAGCAGAACTACACCTGCAAGGCATTGAATCGCCTCTGCCGACGTACGGTACTGAATTCCTGCCTCAAAATCCCGATCTTATCTTCGCTTTGAAAGGGTTCACTGATGCCGAAATCCTTATGGGGCATAGCGACGCAGAGAGTCGCAAGTTCATCTTCAGTGTGTTGGACGGTCGTTTCGAGTCACTGAGAAAGCAAAACAACATGACCGTCAAAGACGGCGAAGTTGCACTTCACGTGTTGCTCAGCGCACTGGGATATCGCCGTCCGTCGGCTTCCGAAATTGTTCAACAATGCCTCGGAAGCACGCAGCCGTGTGACCCTTCTGGTGTGGTGGAGGCGGTCGAGCGTTGCGCGAAGGACTTTGCCGTATTGTGCCCTTCCGTTGCTCTGGCCTATAAGCTAGCAGATGCCGGTCTGACTACCTACTACTACGCTATCAGCTACATCCCGGCGGATACTGAAACCTACTCGAGGAATCACGTGGATCGCCTGACGGAGGCTTCCCTCGTCTTCGGATCGCCATCAAGGTTCCCAGGAAAATACGAAGAGTCTGACCGAACGTTCAGCGATATGCTAATGCACATATGGGCCCAATTTGCTAAAGACGGGTAAGATTTCTTTTGCTTTGTTTTTGCATGTGTACAACACCGCGACCGACATAGTTAACACAAACACGACATTGCAGCTTTTCGCATTTCCCTCATACAAGTTAGAGTTGAGCAAAGCACGTCACCGCTTACGTTGGTGCATTTCCTTGAAATGCGATAAACCACTGATCCCGTGTTCTTGCTAAGTGTCCCGCGTTGTATACTTTACGTTTTGTGTTTTTTTTTTAATAGAAAAGGTTAAACATATGATGCAGTATGGTGTGAAACTACACAAACTGATCGCCGATATTTTTTTTCCCATTAGCTGATTGCTTCCCTTCGTTATATTATATATTCACTATTCCTCCCCTGTACGTCTAGCATGTGTGCGTTGGTGCTTGGGGTTGCGCATGCGCATGAGAAAGAGAGAGAAAGAAGGATAACTAAGTTTCCGCACACGAGTGAGACATTATTCGTCACGGTAGTAACGCGTAATAATCCTTGTTGAGACATTTTATTTTAAATCGTCTAGAGAAAAGGGGGCATGTATAAAAATATTTTAAAACAAATATGTGGTGGGGCAAATTCATTACTAGGACTAAACTTAAAACCGTTCTTGCATCATATTTATTTCCATTATTTCCAATTTTTCTCTTTTTTTTTCTTTCTTACTTTTAAAAGGTTGAGGCGGATTTTGAGATTTGGGTGATAAACAAAGTTCATATATTTGGGAGCTTCGCCAGGCTCAGGTATACCTTTTGCACAATAAAGAAACGCTTTACATATTTTTTTTCTTTTTTTTGCATACATTAAAATCGCAATATGTCCATTAAAAGTTCTTGTGGTGTTTATTTTTGTAAAACAAAAATTCACAACCTGGTCCCTTTCAAGGTAATTTACCAGCTTTGGATGATTATAACTTTCATAACATTCAATTTTATGACATAAATAATATATTCAGTGGCGTACCAACCTTTTCTTGAGGGGGGGGGGGGGGGGGGGCAAACCAGATCCCCCCCCTCTTCCCGGGGGGGTATGGTTCCCTTGGTATTCGTTGGGCGCCGCCGGCCAGTGTTTGCCCTGTCCAGTGGCGGCTGTTTCAGGGGAAAGGGGGGGGGGGGCAAAACACACACCTTGCCCCCCCCTTTTGAAAACGGGGGGGGGGAAACGCCCCCCTTGCACCCCCCTTCCCGGGTTGGTACGCTCCTGCATACATTACATTAAAGCTGAGAGAAATACCTGTTTACAAGTGCAAATCGTTATAGTTGAATAAAGTTATCTTGGCGAGAAACGCATTTGAATGCAACAGGAAGCTTTAAAATACCCAATTTCAACATATTTTTCAAATGCTAATTTAATTTTTTTGTATGATTGATTTTCGGTAAGGTATATAACATCCGTACATTCATAAATACAAAATGTTTGAAGTTATATTTTAAGACGCGAAGCTTGGTAGTCATAACTGGTATGTCTATTAATATTTTAATTCTTGGCCCCTTATCAGAGTATTCGTTGACTTCGATTTGACATGCGATTAAATAAAGTAAATATCCAATTTATGAACTTTAGAAACTCTGAAATCAAAATTACATGAATTTAAAAACTTGCTTCGTGAGAATTAAAAGCTTATAGATACTTTCTTCCAGAATGTTTACACAGACTGACTGGGTCATTGGGGCAAACAAGACATTTTCGACGTGCCTACAGCCCTATCAAATTTCTGCTTTTTCCTATTCTCACATTTCCAAGCACACTAAGCCTCGTAAAAAGGTGGGCTTGTTTAAACCTTATGCTATTCGTTTGATTATTTCTTTCGAAAAAAAGAAAGCTTGCGTACACCATTGGGATATACATACATTTACATAAAATGTAATTGTATGTTTGTGTTTTTTTTTTTAATCGGCTCAGAAAGTGATGCAGCTCATCTCACACACTGTTGCAACGCAAAAAAAAAAAAAGAGCAGAGGGCTTTCAGTTTTTACTCATAACATTCGGTACGCGACCTGTGGTTGAAAATGGTGAATAATAATAATAATATAATAATATATTTATCTGGCTCTGAAGAGCCGCGGCACCGCGGAAAGGCAACAGCCCGCACCATGAAGGCCCGCGATATCTCCATGGTCCCTCAATTTTATGTTAAAACGATTTGCTAACCCTAAGTAGTGAACCTTTAATCCTGTTTAACGTCGCTTTAAGGTCACAATAAGCGTTTTTTGTAACCTTGCGTTATTAGATGTTTTTATGTAATTGCATGTACAGTGCTCTTCAAACCAAACCTCGCCACTCGGTCACCCAAATATTGATATTTTGCACGCTACTCAACTCTAAATTTGTCACAACAGCTGTTAGAATGTCTTCACCATGCCAGGTTGTGATAGGGAATCAAGACGACACCACGTATAGTTAGTTGAACCGGCAAGCCCAGGAATAGCACAAAAAGTGACCAGAACTGAAAATCTCATGCCGGCGTTAAGTTTGGGGAACACTGTACCTCCGCATAGTGTATGAGAGCTTTTCTTTTTTTTTCTTTTTTTAATATGAAACAAAGACAAAAAAGCTTGAACGTGTCCAGCTTTTCATAAGGCTTAGCGCGCGTCGCGAAGCGCCAGTTGAAAAAAAGTGAAAGCTGTTCACTCCCCGTAACGCCGAATTGGAGTGCAGCTCTTGAGGAGGAGGAGGGAAGGGTACTGAGGGCCACAGTTTCTCGGGGGGTCACGTGACATACAGGAAAGGGTCACACGTGACCCCCCCCCCCCCCCGAGGGCACGTGACCTTGCTGGGGTCACGTGACCTCGGAGGAGGGGGTCCACGTGACTCCCCAGGTCACGTGACCCCCCAGGTTACGTGACTAAAATTTCCCCGCTAGATTTAGCGGGGAAATTCTACCGCTAGATTTAGCGGGGAAATTTTTTTTCCACTAGATTTAGCGGGGAAATCTTTCCGCTAGTGACCAAAACCACTAGATCTAGCGGAGAATTTTTTTCCGCTAGATTTAGCGGGGAAATTTTTCCGCTAGACTTAGAGGGGAAAATTTTCCGCTAGATTTAGCGGAAAAATTTTCCCGCTAGATTTAGCGGGGAAATTTACCCGTTAGGCACCGCGCGGTTACGCCGACGGCGACTTCGACGTCGACGCCGCTCAAGCCGGGAACGGGCGCCTAAGAGCTGCGCTCTAAAAGGGCGAAATGTCGCGCTAGGCCTACCTGCTCATTTATAATTATATTTTTTGGTTACCTTTAGCACCCAGTGCTAGCGGTAACGCGTTACAAGTAACGGTGTTACATGAACATGTTACTTTTTTTAGTAACGTAGCAACGGACTCGTTACTTTTTCAAAACTTACTTATTTATAGTAAAAGGGAACAGAGTTACTTTACTCGTTTCATCTTCCCAAGACCCGAAAAAGTACACTTCATTTCTTCCTTGCTCCTACACTTCGTTTTACTTTACGTCCAGACGCAGCCCGCTCTGTAAAACTGATGAAACTAATCAGAGAGCGTCAAGAGGGCCCCATATTGGCGTTCGTCGTGTTTCTGTACGTGGTCTATCATCGCTGAACCGAACGTAACCAAAAAGGCCGAGTCACTCCCGCTTCTCACGCTGTTTCATTGGTCCCATTATCTCGTAGCGTTGATCGGCGTCTGGACTTAAGCTGAGACGAAGTATAGGCGGCAGGCCATTAATTTTTGCACTTATGCCACATACCTTCAATATTTTGCCAGTGTTTTCCCCACGCAAAAAGTCCTGTTTAAGGAAAACCTCAACCTCCACGCCCTTTGTCCTTGCAAAAAAAAACGCTCTAGCCAAAAAAAAAAAAAAAAAAAAAAAAAACGCTGTTACCGTCAATTTATAAATAAAAAGTTACGCAAAAAGTACCGTGCGTTGAATTTTATCTCTAGCAGTAACGGTAAGGCGCTCCTTGTTATTTTGAGGTAACGTAGGTCGGTAACGCGTTCCTTTATTTTGCAAGTAACGAGTAACGTATTTCGTTTTTTTTTTTTTTTTTTTGACAACGCCTACAACACTGCTAGTTTCGCAGATATCCCGGATAAGTCTTTTGGAAGAAAATATTTATAAACTTTTACTTTTCCTTACTCAATTGAGAGAAATGTTTTGTTGTTTTGTTTTTTACTTGCACTTTTTTATTTTTAGTAAACAAGCTGAACGTGTGTATAAATGCATTTATATATTATGCATATTATATATTATACATATTATATAAGCACCCTACTTGGGGTGAACAGAATTCACAAATAAATAATAATAAAACGCTTAACTATTTGTTCTATTAAAGCCAACCAACACTACGAAAAAGTGCCAACAAATAATTAACAATCAGGCAAAATCAAAAGGCTGCGACATAGCTTCGCCTGAATCAATCGCCTGAATTTGCCGGGGCATGTCTGACATTTTAAGAATATATAAACATTTCAGCTTTTCTTTTGAGCAGAAGTCGCAATGTGATATTAAAGCCAACCAACACTATGAGAAAGTTCCAACAACTAATTAACGATCTGGCAAAATCAAAAGACTACGATATAGCTTCGCATCTTAAGATATAAAATACAAATAAAAAACGATATATTACATTTTATTTTTACAGAATGTATAAAACCAAACCAAAAGTTCTTCGTAGGGAAACAATATTTATAATGGCCTTTTTAAGAAAGTTTTTGTTGAAAATTGTACCTTTAGAGTTTCCTCCTGTCGTCAGTGACGTTTTTCGCCAACATAAATTTATTTGGTATCGTTGGCTTTTTTAATATAGATTTGTTTCAGCTTTCATTAGATTTATAATTTATCATAAAATCGAATTTTATAAAAGTTATCATAATTGAAACCGGGATAATTATCGTGAAAGGAGTCAGGTTTATTTATCTCTTTTACAAAAAACCAATAGCAATTAAATTTTTTATTAACATCTAGTGCTTTTAATGTGGTTTGAAAAGCCATGTAAAAAGTATATTTGTTGTGACATGTTATCTGAGCCGCCGAAGCTTCAAATACGCGATCTGTGACGATCGCCCAAAATCTTAAAATCCGCCTTTGGTCCTTTAGAAGTCAAAAACTCAAAAACCAGAAAAATATAGTGATATTTTTTTAAAGTTCCTGCAAATTGTAAGATGAAATCGCCCAGTTATAATGCACAGGGTGTATTTATAGGCTTTACATATGTGCTTTTAAAACCGCACGAAAGCTATAGAGTAATGCGGTCTGTGCATGTGAGTTATACGACTGCGAGTAACCGGGACATTCATGATTTGTGTGCCACTTGCCAAACTACTCCTTGAATTGGTGGCCACGCTTTACACGAAGCACGCCTGACCCGGTGACTCGCGGCCGTTTGTCGACGTAATGCAGTCAAACGCATTCAAACGCAACCGTGTGTACGGACCTTATTTTTGTCTTCATCATTTATTGTCAATCCATAGCCTAGGAGGCTATGTTGCTGACAGAAAATTAGATGTGGTACTTCCGACAAAGGAAAGTGCAAATGTTTCCTGCTGCGTCGGCACAGAACGTAGGGGCGAAAAAGCGGGGATCTATTCGTGTGATAGTTGGGAAGCGTCGTAGAAAGAGACCATCCCTCTAATTCACCCTTGTCGTCCTGTGTGTTTTCTTCTTCTAGGAAGCCACCAGCGGTGCACGGTACACTTTGGCCCCCGTTCTCCGAAGCCGGTCCCCTCTACGTTGAACTTGGTCCGGCTCAAAAGTTTCTAAAACAAATTGAGGCGTCTCTATGTAAACAGTCTAAAAAATAGTGTGTGTTCGAACCATCAAAAATAAATACCGTGAGAGACATCGCTCGCAAATTTTATAAACTTCAATTTCACGTGGTGCTTTGGTTCTCGTGGGATCGTGTTTCACATTTCACTTTTGCACAAGCAATGAATTTAGGTGACTAAACGAATGTCACTTCGCACTGAGGCGGCTGAGAAAAGGGGGGGGGGGGGGGTCATTATCCCTTTCCCCCCTCCCCCTCCCTTCTTCACGGAGCAGGGTAAAAATCCAATACATTGAGCGCTTGAAATAAGGAGATGGTTTACGTTTTCATATAAACCAACGTTATAAATTCAGAACGCAAAGAATAGATGCAATAAAATAAATACAGAAGCGCCAACATTTTGTTTGCGCTGATTTTGTCGCCTAGTGTTCATGGATAAGTTTCATATTTCTTAGGGAAGATCGGTGGCCGAAGCGACTAGCGCACACGAGCTCGGAACACGTGGAGCGAAAGCTCGCGCTGCAGAACCCAGGGATCCTGGGTACACTGTGCTAGAATATGGTGTAGCGTTTGGACCGGCGCGGCTTGGCAATGGGAGCTCGTGAGGCTGCGTGTAGACAATAATAGATCCTTTCCGGAATTCAGTCTGGCCACTTGATCACTATCATCATCATCTGAAAACGGCATATGAGCTATACTAATGGCGGCCTTCTGTTTACAGATGAAGGAAGAAGTTGAAGATGCTCTTAAGCAGATGATTCGTTGCCTTTACATTCTCGACGTTAGCGCGACGTGAAGCAGGAATTGGACGCAAGAGCTGCGTAAGCGTTCATTCCTAACTCGGCCCAGTCAATCTGTTAGTAGCACTCACTCGGCTTCAAAGCACCTTGAAGTATAGGACTCTATCAAGGCGTCTATATGGGTTGGCGCTTCGTTCCGACTGGCAGCATTTGGTTCGTCATCGACACTAAAAGAGATTGAGAAATAATTGTAGTGAAGTGCACATTCTCGTTTACCGATGACCTTTAAGTGACGGTGCCCCATTAAATACTGCAGACCACAGGTATTTGCCGCCATCAGTATAGTAAAAGATAAACTGCCATTTTAGTCACCAGATGGCACTGAATTCCAGAAAGGGTCTTTGCAAATTTTACAAACAGAAAATACACCGTCTGTGGGCAACGCTGCACAAAATCGTACCGCGATAGATTAAAACACCGAATTTCACGGTCGATTTAAAGAGCGTGGCAGCTATTTGGGAAAAACGGTATTTTAATCTGAGTGGCTCCCATGCTGGGACTACTAGGTGTGACTGTCTTATATAGTTTTATGTCACGCGCATTGCTTGACGAGTATGCTTGGGTCCTGGAATATAAAGATGTTTCCGATGTCTCCTTGAGCACCCGGCCTCCCGTTTCATCCCCGCTTTCGATCGCGCACGTGGCCATATTGGCGACGTCCGCGATCGAAAGCGTTGCTGTAGTCGGCCTTCCATGGTTGGCCGAATGTTGATTACGACGTCAGTAAAGGAGCTCTCATCGACGGAAATAGAAGTTATGGAAGACCTTCAATTTTGGCGGTGTCGGCAGTGTTGGTTTCAGAGAGCAATAGTTTCGGGCATCCACCATGTTTCTTACAAACACCATCGAACTTGTTCTTCGCAAGGTAAGGACGTCGCGAGAGGGAACCATGGGAGGGCGCCACCAAAACATCTTGCCGTTAATAGACGATTGCAAGCAAGGCGACTGGCCGCCGCCGTGCCTCTGCTCATGCGGACGAGCCCGTGCAGTCACAAGCTTTGCCGAAGCTATGCTCACGCGCAAGCTGCAAGTGTTGCACACATCGGGGTAATGTTACAGGAATAAAAGAAATATAACAAGGACGAAGGCCGGATAAAACAGAAAACACCTTGCCGTGCTGTCTCCCCCCCCCCCCTCCCCCTCTCCCTTAGTCTTGTCCTCGTATTTCTTGTGTTCCTTTTATTCCGGCTATAATTCCTGGCTTCTGCAGCGCAGGCTTCACTCAGCGTTCTCACAGCTGCCATACGCTAACAAGTTGTGCTCAACACATAGCTGCAGGGTTTACCGGACATTGCTTAGGTTCGGCGACTACCTTGAGCCCATCCACTGACTGAGCCAGAGGATTTGAACATCATCGTTAACGCGAACACAGGCTAAGGAAGCTTAATGTGAAAGCCTACGCTGCACTTGTTCGTCTCCGATACATGAGCGGCATTGCGCAGCGACACAAATTCCTGCGGTAAAGTATCGTTACATGTTAATAAACTTCCACCGCTTTCTGCCCCTTCTACGTAAAGCGCGTCAAGCTCAAACCAAATCTCATTTCGAGGCCCTTTTTACCCCAACCCCCATACTGTTCCGCAGAATAGTGAACCAGATTAAGTAGATGCAGTATTTCTGCATCTACTCAATGGGGGCCGAGAGCTCGTCAAGCCGTTTCGTGCGGCTTTTTTTCTCGGCCTCCACCATTGTAAACGGAAAATAAATATATTATTATATTATTATTAGTATTGATAGCTTAATTATTATTTATTTACTGCAACGAACATCTGCTGCGCTTTCGTCGCGCGACGCAGCGGAGGCTGGTTGCACTATTTCTCCACGGGGTGCGGTGCTGTCGGGGCCGAGATGCGCCCCGATGGCAAACCGAAATTTAAAAACCCATAGAGTTTGTGCGGTTTTTCAGAAACCCGTAAAATGCTTTGCGTGCCTTCTATCGTTCTGCGATTTGTTGATTTAGTGTTTTTCGATGATACTGAGCAATTTTCTAATTGAAACCATGCCCTTAAACACAATATTAAAAAGTTAATTACTCAAAAATAATTACCAACATAATTATCCTGGACTTTAATCATTTGTTTAAATAGGCCCTTGGCCCAGAACAAAAACGACACAAGCCTTTTTTGTTGTTGCGACGCGTAGTTTTCGCAATATCGAATTTGTCTACCTTTGGTGAAACACCCTGTATAGACAATTGCAAGCATGGCGCCACAAGTGGTGCCCCATGCGTGCAAGAGCGTGCAACGCGCGGGTGAACGTAGCTTTGGCAAGCTCGTAATCGCACGGGCGTGCCTGCTCGAGCAGAGACATGGCGGCGGCCAGTCGCCCAGCTTGCAATCGTCTATAAGCGCAGCTCTTGTCTGTTGGAAAGCTGTCGTGACAAGTTAGTTCATTGACTACGAGGCTGTTAGGGCGTCGCGCAGGCACACAGAATGCGCAGAGTTCGTTGGAGACAGCAGCGAGAACCAGGCGAGCGGAAAGCAATTGATCATGTCTAAGCCTCTTTATCGGCTTCTAAAAAAGGAGCAAAAGTGGTCGTGGACATGGCAGTGTAGCGAAGCCTTTGCTGCTATGAAGCAATTGATTGTTAACAATCATGTGCTCACTTTTTACGACGTAGGGAAGCCGATTGCATTGATTTGCGATGCGTCATCCTATGGGCGATGCGTCATCCCGATGCAAAATTTTCGTAAGTTTTGCGCAAGTTACGACGAAATCCGTAACTCACCCTAAACTTACGAACATTTTGCCTCGGAAATACCTCAAAAGTTCGTAACTTCGTCCTAAGATAAATTTACGAACTTTTTGTCGTAGGTAAGTTTCGGAAATCTGGCCTCAGATCTTCCTACTAATACTGCAACAGCCTTATGCGCCTCAAAGTGAACCATACTGAACGGACGTTTTGCTGGCGCGCACGAAAGAAGCGTTAAACATAATTAATCGCTTCTTCTTTCGATGTGACTCAAAGAGAGTTGACTTACCGGTTTGGCTGTTAACTCAACGGTGAATGTCCTTACTAAAAGGTCGATATGTTTCCGTCTTCCTGCTTTAGAAGTCACAGTTTGTGTCAGTGGGGCCATGGGAGCACGTTCTTACAAGGAGTCATCAAGTAAAACGTTTTCCTTCCGCCTCGGATGCAATATAGTCCTATACTCCCAAAGGCACTAGATAACGTATTCCCGGTCATTCCTATCAAGGGGTATTTCTAAACACCCGATGAGCCCAAGTTATTGCGCGTTGTCACACAAGGGGACTAAATATTTGCTGGGCAGAAGCGTCGCCAGTTGAGGAAAGGGAAGGCGCGAGCTTCCTAAAATTGCACTTTCCCAATAAAAAGGTGGTGATATCTGCTCGTAGGCTTATCCCAAAATAAATTTCCCAAAGAGAGGCAGCGAGGCTAGAGTTCCTCTATAGGCTCCCTACGGGAGCCGCCTTGGTGGCTCCGAGGCGAGAGCGCTGGACTACGGATCCCCATGTGGCGGGTTCGAATCCCGTCCAAGGTGCCCGTAATCTGACGGAGGCGTATTGCGGAGAAGGCGCCGTGTAACCGAGCTTTCGGTTGCACGTCAAATGATTCCCAGGTGGTTCAAATTAATTCTCAGTCTTCCGCTGGGGCGTGCCAGATGCCCGTCGTTGGTTTTGCACGTAAAAAAACCCAAATTTAGGCTCCCTGCGGGAGCCAGAGTTGCACGTCTGTTTTCCACATGCCGCCGCGCCGCTATTCGCCGAGATCCGATCATGTGAGGATCCGGATCAAGTGCCGTGCAGGAAAGTAGACGTTGCACCACTCCCCGACAGTACGTTCCCCTGCTTTTGAGCGCGCCGCGCGCCTCGAACGCGCGGCGCCGCTATTCGCCGAATTCAGTCACGTGACGAGTGGGATCAACATGCCGTGCAGGAAAGACGGCGCTACGGAGATGAATGCGCCACTCTGGCTCCAGTAGGGAGCCTATATAGGAACTCTAAGCGAGACATGCAGCGAGCGGCACCTGCTTTGCTCGATTCCTGTGTTTTGCGACTACAAAAAGCACCTTTACATAACCAAAGGCCAAGGTACACACGAAACGTTTTGGAGTCTTGACAAAGCATTTTGAGATTAACTATTTATTCTGGTTGTTTGCTGTTCACGATGATCGAAGCTTACGGTTTGACCTTGCTTGACAAAAAAGCAAGAAGGCTGGGGATCTGTTTGTTCTTTTCTTTCAGGTTTTAAAACGTGTTGTTCTCAGTGGCAATGGGCCCTTCGCCTTGTATCCTATAACCCGTTCATTCCTGAGCCGACAGCGTGGAGGAAGCTACGTGC